TTTAATTATTTATTTAATAACCACATGTTTAGAAGAAGCATTTCATTACAGCATTATCATAGTCAATAATAGTTTCCAGAGCAAAGATGCATTTCTTTCAAAATTGGCTGTAAATTTTTAGTTTCACAGTTGAATAAATAGTTATACAATATTGAACTCAGTAAAAACCCTATAAGACATAAAATTGAATGAGGTTTTAACCTTTAAAAAAGATCTCCATTTCATTTTAAAATGTACTGTTTCATACAGAAAAACTCATTTTTAATGCAACGCTTAGATGCTTGCACATGTGTCTCTAATTTCTATGTATCTGTTATTACTAGTCACAGTCTGTTACTTTCTGAAATCCTTGGCACCTGAACATGGATATAAAGTCATCAGGTAGATTTCAATGGTAATGTTTTTCACCTCTACTAATTAACATGAAGCAAATTTTTATGCTACTTCCTCAAATATAGCTCATTTTAAAAAATTTGTTGGGCTTGTATATGTATTTCATACAGAGCATCCCAAACAATCTTATTCATCTATATACCCACACTTCTCAAACAGTCTTATTCATCTTTATACCTGCATCCCAAATAGCATCCTCACATACCCTCCCCTGCACCATTGGGGCCCATATACTCTGTCATCCCTGTTACTGTCCACTGTGTTGTTGGTGCCCCCAGCTGTTCCCCAGTGCTTGTCCAGCTGCTGAATCTAGTCAGCCTATCTAGAGTTCCTTGTTTTAGGAAGATCAGCTCTTCCTCATCTAGCAGCAGTCAGTTGCCAATATTCCTCTAGATAAGATCGGGGCCTGCTGTTCATTTTCTCAGTTCTATGCTGGGTTACTGTCTGGGAGTCTCTTGGGCCACCCTTGCCAACAACTCAAAGGAAGGCATATCCTGTCTCACATTCTTTCTTGTTTTGTAGCCTTTAGCTATACACATGGACTCTTAAAAATTATATTGACCCCTTTAATCTTTGGTTAGACCACCTCCCTCATCCATGTCCCCACCCCCTGCCACCAGACCTCATGTATTCCACCATACATGTTAAGTCCTTTTAAAAATATTTTATATTACATTTGATATATTATGAAGGTATTAAAAGTATATTCAAGAATATTTTAAAGTAACATTGGAAAAGACTTGATAAGTCAAATCCACTTCTTTATCTTTCCTCTTCACAGAGAGAAAAATCATAGTTTACAATTTCTTTCCTTTCTTTTGGTAGGGTGCATGGTGATAGGGACCAAACTCAGGACTTCTCACATGCTGGGCAAGTGTTCTACCACTGAGCTACATTGGTAGCCTCAGCCCAATAATTTTTACTTCTACTGCCAAAGATGAGTTTTGTTTGTACTTGAATTTTGTATGTGCTCTGTAGTATCTTCTTTTATTCAAAGTATATCTTTGAAATGTATTCATATTACTATGTATAATTATTATTTTCTTTTTGTGTTGTTTTGTTTTTTGAGGCAGGGTCTCTCTGTAGCCCCAGCTAGCCTCCTTCTCACAGAGATCCACCTGCCTCCTTTCTGAATGTAGGGATCAAAGGCATGCAAAGCTATACCTAGTAATTACTTTTCCTCTTTTTATCATTGTATAATATTCCATTTTATGATGTTACCATAGGTTATCCATTTTTCTATAGATGTACATTTGAGTGTCCAGTTTGGGAATATTATGAATAAAGTTGTCAGTAGTTTTGTTTGTGTCTTTTGATAGATACATGCACTTATTTCTCTTGGATAGGGATTGCAGTACCATTTGGTAAAATGTGTTTTTTTTTTTTGTTTTTTGTTTTTGTTTTTTGTTTTTGGTCTTTTTGGAGACTGGGTCTCCCTGTAGCCCCAGTTGGCCTGGAACCTACTATGTAGACCAGGCTGGCCTTCAGCTCACAGAGATCTGCTTGCCTCTGCCTCTGAGTGCTGGGATTAAAGGTGTGTGCCACCACACCTGGTGTGTTTGATTTTTTTAAAAAATATTTTGTTTATTATTTGTATTTTATGTGTATGAGTATATTGCTTGCATGTATGTAAGTGCACTTGTGTGCCCATGGAGGTCAGAAGAGGGTATTGGATCCCCTGGAACTGGAGTTAGGACAGTTGTTAGCTGACATGTGAATGCTGGGAATTGAACCCAGGTCTTCTGCGAGAGCAGTCAGTGCTCTTAACCGCTGAGCCATCTCTCCAGCCCAAATGTGTTTGATTTTGTAATAAACTGCTAACCTATATTCCAAACTATACTAATATACAGTCCTGCCACCAATGTGATAAAGTTTCAGTTATCCCATATTCTTGCCAGTGTTAATGTTGATGGTCTTTAAATTTAGTCATTCTGGTGTATATGTAATGGTGCCATATTATGGTTTTGTATATTTAAATGGTTTTGGTTTTAATGTTCATACCTTTTGAACTAAGAATTTTGTTTATATAGTGGTTTTCTAAAGTATAATCTGAGTATTATGTATTTATAATAATAAAATAGTGAGCCATTCAAACACCAATAGATTAGTAGTATACATTGGGGTAAAATGTTATACATAGAGTACCAACTATAGAGATATACATTATTAAACAGACTGTATATACTTAGCATGGCAGATGACCAGTATATTAGGATATAAGAAACTATTGTCCAGGGCTGGAAACATGGCTCAGCGGTTAAGAACACTGACTGCTCTTGCAGAAGACCCAGGTTCGAATCCCAGCACCCACATGGCAGCTAACAACTGTCTGTAACTCCAGTTCCAGGGGATCCGACAGCCTCTTCTGTCCTCTGTGGGCATTGCACGACACGGGTGCGCTTACCTACATGCAGGCAGTACACAAATACCCATAAAATTAAAAAATAATAAATAAAATAAGAAAAGATTAAGAAGAAATGGCATGATGGCTCAGTGGGTAATAGCACTTGCCATGAAAGCCTGATGACCTGAGTTAGATGTCCAGAACCCAGAGTGGAATGAAAGAGCTGATTCTCAAAGGTTGTCACCTAGACTCTGTACATATACTACATTATGCACATGCTCCCTTCCCACATACATCAATAAGTACTTTAAGAAAGGAAACTATATTTTAAAAATATGAATAAGGTTGACCAATCTCTAGCCAAACTAAACAAAAGAAAGACATAGAAGACCCAAATTAATAAAATTAGAGATGAAGGTGGAATAGTAGCAACAGATTCTAATGAATCCAGATTATCAGGGGAAACTTTGAAAAATTATATTCCAATAAGCTGCAAAAAAGAAGAATACATTTCTAAATGCAGATTACATGTGACAATTAAATCCAGAAGATATCTAAACAATCTAACAGATCTGTAATAAGCAATGAGATTGAAGCAGTAATAAAAGTCTTCTCACAAAGAAAAGCCCAAGGCCAGATGGATTGGCTGCTGAATTCTACCAAGCTTTCAAGCAGGATCTAATACCAACACTTCTTAAACTGTACCACAAAATAGAAAGTGAAGGAACTAGCAAATTCTTTCTATGAATTTAATATAATCATGATACCAAAAATGGATAAAGACATGGGGGAAAAACCCCACAAAACTGCAGACTAATATCCCTGATGAACATAAACACAAGAAATTCTCATGAAAATGCTCACAAATCAAATTGAAGAACACTTTAAGAAGATCATATGTTGTATCCTGGGGATGCAAGGTGGTTCAACATATACACTTCAATAAATGTAATATACCATATTAATAGACTTAAAGAACAGAAATTATGTGATCTTTTTGATAGATTCATCTGTGTTTATTGTGGCTTTCTTCAGAAAAGCAAAGAAATGAAATCGGCCTAACATGTATATCAGCAAATGAATGGGTACTAAAAATGTGGTACGTACATACAATAGAATTTTTCAACTGTAAAGAAGAATGAAATTGGGCCTGGAGAGATGGCTCAGCGGATAATAACACTCTCTGCTCTTGCAGGGGACCCAGGTTCGATTCCCAGCACCCACATGGCAGCTAACAACCATCTGTAACTCTAATTCCAAAGGATACAACGCCCTCTTCTGACCTCCGCAGCCATTGCACAACACAGGTGCATTTACACAGATGCAGGCAATACACTCATAACATAGAAAATAAAATTAATAAATAAAATATTTTGAAAAGAAAAATGAAATTTGCAGAAAAATAGATGGAGCTGGAAAATACTGTATTAAGTGAGGTATCTCATGCTCAGAAACAAAAATACCAAATGTTCGCCCTTCATTTGGGGATTCTAGCTTCAGAAAGTTAAATATATGTATTTTACTGGGAGTAAGGGTGATTATAAGTCAGAAAACTAGAAAGGGGTCCATGAGACAGGAAAAAGGATGTTATAAGTCAAGGGGCCAGGCACAGAAAAGAACATATGAGATGTGATAGGAGTAGGGGGAATTACTGGGGGAGGAAGGTTACAGCAGGAAAATATGGGCAGGGAGGAGGGAGGATGGGAGGAGAAATTGCATCTATACTGAGTGTGTACATTTTTCACTATTCCCTCAGTATTGTACAAAGTATTTACATTATATTCAATACTACAAATTTAAAATTTATAAAAATTGAGCGTGTTCAAAAACATTTAAATATTGTAATGAAACACTAAAATATCTTTGGATGGTCATACTGTGTGATCCCCCTACCCTCATATAATTTTTCTAAATACTGTTATTTTAGAATAACACAAAACAGATTCTTTTGAAGCATTCTAGATTTTCTTTTGAGATGGGCCTGGAACTGACTATGTAGATCAGGCTGGCCTCAAACTCATAGAGATCCACCTGCCTCTGCTTCCTGAGTGCTGGGATTAAAGACCACCATGCCCATCAGTATTCTAGATTTTATGTTCCGTAATGCTTTCTTCCTACCTAAATCTTTTATGTAAAACAGAAATTTGCTCTCTTGGGTTTCTTTATTTGATTTCTGATATTATTTTAACTCCCAATGTATAAATTGTATGAAAAAGACACTGTCATGTTTCTTCTTCTGAAAATCTGATGTTCCAACATCCAGTCTAGGACAGAAGACAAAATAGAACGATTCAAGAAAGCAGTTGAGTACTACTCAGTCACAAACAAACTCTCTTCGCTGCCTGTGGGTCCCTCCTTTCTAGGTAAGGTTTCTAGCTGACATTAAGCTTTCTTGTTCGTAAAGGAAACTGAGTTAGTCCCTTAGGGCCAGAGTGGAATCATTCGTTTGGGCCTGTACCTTCCCTTTTCACATTTATATGTGGGGAATAATGGCATTTCCTTAGCTTGGGCTTTTAATACTAACACTCATTCCAGCCTAGTGTGTGTAAAATAGTTTTGTCTTTGGCATGAAGCCTAATTCTGAATTCTACTTGTGCTACTTACCAGTGTGTGAGCTTGTCACTTCACATTTGTGTGAGACATGACTAATAATACCTATTATTTAGGGGTTGTTATCAGATGAAATTGTTTATAAAAGATTCCTGGTGTGCCATTTATTCATTCCACCAATATTACACCAAGCAGGTATTATTTGACCACAAAACCTTTATACCCTTTACTTTCTTGGTGGAAAGGCTAGGATTGATTGTTGCCACTATAAATCTGGCAGGCACATGAAAGTGAACTGAGAACTAAGGGCAGAGGAATTAATATTGAATGTGCTATCTAAGGAACAGCTTGTGAACACACCTTTATGTAATCTCAGGCTTATGGGCCTACCTTAGTCACTTGAGGATGGCTGACACTGTAAGAGAATCCTACAGAGAACAAAAACATGGAATGGCATGTACCATTGTATCTTTTTTCATGTGGTGCTGGGGATCTAATCCTGCTAGGCAAGTGTCTACCACTGTTCCACATCCTCAGCCTATAAGTTATAGCTTTATAATAACAGGTCTTTAAAATGTGATGATGGCATAGCAGGATGTAATAAATATGGTACAATTAGTAGTATTGACTAAAATATAGTACTTTCTCTTGGCTTCAGGCTTTCGAAATAATCGACTTGGAAATCCTCCTCTTCCACGAAATCAAATGGGCACCATTTCTGCTGGAAAGCCAATGGTGAGTGTTTATTGCATATTCATTAAAAGGCTTGAGATCCTTTGCTAGCATTAGACTTAGGTTCATTCTTGATTATTATAATCTGAGTTGAAACGTTAGGATGACTCAGTGTTACTAGATTGTGTAGGCCATATACCCATTATCACTTTCTGCCTTGAGGCTAGAGACCTATTTGAAGATACCATCCAAATTAGTAACCACTAGGACATTGTTAATATAGGCTAGCTAATGGCACAGAATATTTCTAAGACATTTAATTTGGTTCATTGTCCTATCACTGGTAAATTCTGTTCAGACATCACTGTTAGAATTATTTCTTTATATTTTCAGTAGGTACTTTGTATCTCAACAGTTCCTACTGTGGATATCATCTACAATATCACAGCTTCCTTAGGAAACCATCTTGGAGCCTGATAAAATGTTAAATATCTTTTCTGTCTATTTTTCTCCTTTAGTTTTCTCGCCAGGTACCCCAGAAAATGAAATATCCACCACCATTTCCAATGGGACCCAAATCATCTCTTCTCTTCTCCCATAGTCTGGGAGAATCCCATGCTTTTTCTGAAGACCCCATGCTGCAGGACAGCCCCTTTGCCAATTGGGCTGTTTCTTATGACTCTTCTACATCCCAGTTTCCTAACTACCTGACTTCTAAAACTTCACCTCCTTTGGGACCAGATTCTTCCCACTCCTCTTCCTCTGATGGTGATGAGCCAAATGGAGCCAGTTCTGAGTAAGTATCTATATAAATATCCAGAACAAGAGACTACAGAAGGAATGTGGGAACTGTATATTCTTGACGTCTTTCTATTACTCTTTGCCCTTTGGCTTTGTAAAGGTGGTAATTTTCAGATATCCAAGAGGAAAGGCAGTTGGTTAGGAAACCCTGATAGGAATATGCTACATACACAACTATCATTTCTCAGTTTGAGAGCATAGATTGAAGGTAAAAAGAAGAAAAGAATTCATAGAGCATTCTATTGGAACAGTTGAGTAGTCATCTATATTGCTTAGTAACTAAGATGGGTTTCTTAAAGTAGCTCATTTGTTTTTAGGGTGTTCCTCTAAGAGATTATTCCTCGGAAACGGAGCTACTTTGAGATTATAATATGTAATTATTTTCTTAGACTGTGGGTAGATTCTAAACATGTTATCTTCAAGGTATAAAGGATCCAGAGTGACTTCCATGACTTTTGATTACTTTGGTCTGTATCAGATGAAAGAAGCAAGGAGGACAGTGATGACTACTGAGAGGAAAGTTGTCAGGTCCATTCCTAACCCAGTGTCCTGACCAACAGAGGGTTTGTGAGAATCCTTGCGATCAGACTAGACATCTTGAGTAGAAATCTTTATCAACCTCCCTTTTCTATCCTACGCTGTTTCTGAATTTTTTAGTCACATCACAGAAGCACTCCAACAGCAGCCTGGATGGGAAGATCCCAATGGTGACAGAGGGTCTTGGGTACAGCCTGCTGATGCTGGAGTTTCAGAAACCAGCTTAGGCGATGGTGAACCTCACATCCCATCTCTGTTATCTATGTCTACAAGGAACCACATGGACATCACCATTCCACCCTTACCTCCAGTAGCTCCAGAAGTCTTACGGGTTGCTGAACACAGACACCGAAGGGGTCTTATGTATCCATATATCTACCATGTCCTTACTAAGGTGAGAAAGCACATCTGTACTTTCATCCCTGCTCTTTACAGTATTTTTATTTGTTTGTTGTTTTGTTTTGTTGTGAGACACAGTCTCTATGTAGCTCTGGCTGGCCTGGAACTTGCTATGTAGACCAGACTGGCCTTGACCTCATAGACAGACCTGCCCTCTGTCTCCCAAGTGCTGGGATTAAAGGCATGCACCATCACACCTGGCTCTGTGCAATAACAGTGTAAATTACCAAGTTACCAAAGAAAAGTCTGATAATTCATATTTTGGGGGGGTTGGGGGGAGCTGTCCTGGGTATTGAACCTAGAGTTTCACACATGCTAGGCAATCACTCTACCACTAAGCTATATTCCCAGTCCATTGATCATTTTATCTCTTGAGATACAATATATATATATGTTTGTGCCCTTCCTTATATTAAGGGCCTCAGAAGGGGAAAGGTTAGCAAGAAATAGGAGGACTATGTAGTAAATGAGGCCTCTAAGAGACAAGTATAACTGTAAGATTTTCAAGTAAATAATGTACCAAATTGATATACTGTGGTTCTGAAAATAGGCACGGTCTAAGAAGAAGCTCTGTTCTATCTCTTCCTCTACTTCTGCATACCTGTTCCCCTCCTCTGGTCTTACCAAAGAGATTATCCCCAACAAAATGGCTAATGTGAATTCAACCATAGTCAATCAGATCTAGGATTTTAAAAGTGAAATATACCTTATAAGATGGCTATAGTTGGGGGCTGGAGAGATGGCTCAGCAGTTAAGAACACTGGTTGTTCTTGCAGAAGACCCAGGTTCGAATCCCAGCACCCACATGGCAGCTAACAACTGTCCATAACTCCAGTCCCAGGGGATCCGACAGCCTCTTCTGACCTCCGTGGGCATTGCACGACACGGGTGCACATGCAGGCAATACACGCATACACACAAAATAAAAATAATAAATAAAAAAAAATTTAAGTTAAAAAAAGATGGCAGCAGTCAACTCAGCTGATTACAGCTTCCTTCTAATCTGAAAGTCTCTCTAAATACAAATAGAAAATTTAGTGTTTAGACTCTAGAGGCTACAATTGATTATTTGTTCTTTTCAGCTCCATTCCAAACTTTGAAGTTGAAGGAACTAATTTTCTTCTTTTTCCTGGACCATTCTCCTATTAGGGTGAGATTAAAATTCCCGTATGTATCGAGGATGAGTGTAACATGGAGCTGCCTCCAGCTACTCTCCTGTTCCGGTCAGCTCGTCAATATGTATATGGAGTTCTTTTTAGTCTGGCAGAGACACAACGGAAAATGGAACGTCTGGCCATACGACGACGGTTACCTATGGAAGGTAACTATTACTCTAGCCTTGACAGTTCTCTGAACACTTAGCACAGAAAAAAAATGTATGTGAGCACACCATACTTTAGGCTTTAGAGCAGTCCTTAAGATAATGTATCATGAGGCTGGAGAAATGGGTCAGTAGTTAAGAGCACTGGCTGCTCTTGCAGAGGACCCAGGTTTGATTCCCAGCATCCACATGGCAGCTAACAACTGTCTATAACTCCAGTTCCGGGGGATCCAATGCCTGCTTCTGATTTCTTTGGACATTGTATGACACGGGTGCACTTACATACATGCAGGCAATACACTCATACACATAAAATAAAAACTAATAAAAATATTTTTTAAAAGACAATGCATCATTCACCAAATTGCACATTGGTATAGGAAATACACAGTTATAAACTCCATGCAGTCATGAACTCCATGCAGAATTTGTATTACTTAAAAGAGGAATGGTAGGCTTGGATGTTTTAAACTACAGAGTGACTTAGTCAAATTAATATATTCAAAAGAATACTTTAGATTTCTGCTTCCAGGAAGGTAAAGTAGATTAGGTATACTTTTCCTTTTTTTCTTTCTAAATATAACTAATATTCCAGGATACTATATATGAAAAAAAAGAACGCAAGATACTAGAGAAAGTAGAAACTGTCTGGCAACCTTGGAACCCAAGGAATGATAAAATAGTGAGTTCTCTAGGTTTTCTTTTTGTCTCGTGCATCACAGACTGGATGTGAGACAATTTGACTGGCAGTTGAGAGTTTCCACCATTGCAGACCAATTACTGCCCCCACCATCACATACCTGTTTTCTCTGGAAGAAGGACCAACCTAGGATCATAGAAAATTTTAGGTAAAAACTCATCCCCATCAGCAAAGGCCTTAATGAATATCCTATATTTTCTCCCTTACCAGGCTGTAATGAAGCATTTCACCTGCTGCTGCTGAGGAACTGTCAGGCAGGGTCACATGAGGAGCCATAACTTTGGCTTCCACTTGACAGAAGCGGGTGTTCTCCATTACCTGCTGGTGTGCCAGAAAAATGCTTGATAAAAATGCAAGATTTAAATAATATCTAGAATTTTTTAAATTAATACTCAAATATTTGGGCTTAAACTGAAAATTCCTCAACATACTAAGAGCTAAGAAAGTTTAAAATTCACTTCTCGAACAGACTAAAAAGAAAATGAACACAAAGATAACAATTGGCGAGGAATTGCAAAGCAACCCTCACAATTTTTTCGGGTTTTTTTGAGACAGGGTCTCCCTGCAGCCCCAGCTGGCCTGGAACTCACCATGTAGACCAGGCTGGCCTCGAACTCACAGAGATTCTCCTGCCTGTGCCTCCCGAGTGCTGAGATTAAAGGCATGTGCCACCACACCGGCTATAAAAATTTTTGTAACAAATAATTATAGGCATACTTGAAACAAATTGACTGTAAAAAGCCAAAAAAATAATAAGCAGAATATTTAGGGCTGGTGAGATGCCTCAGCTGGTAAAAGTTCTTTCTTCACAAATCTGATGACTTGGGTTCAATCTCTGGAATCCATGGTGGAATGAGAGAACTGACTCCTGAGAGTTGTCCTCTGATCTTTACATCCATGCTATGGTATATACATACCCACACACACATGCACTGTCACACACAAATAATGAATAATTTTTTAATTGAAAAAGAAACAATATTTAAAGAAGGACCAAATGAAATTAAGAATCAAAGTATCCAAAATGAAATACATGCAGGCCAGATGGTGCGTGCCTGTCATTGCAGCACTTGAGTGATGGAGGCAGAGGAATCAGGAATCCAAGGTCATCCTGGGCTACCTTCAAGACCAGCCTGAATTATATGAGAACCTATTTCAATAAATAAACAACAAAATAAAATACTCAAAGATAAGTTAAAGGGCACAACAGTGAAGGGAATCATGTAACTTGAAGATAGAACAATATAAATTACCCAGTCTGAATAACAGAAAATAGTCTGAAAAAAATAAGGGCCTGTAGGACTATTAGAAAAGATCTAATATTTGTATCATCAGACTCTAAGCAGAGTGTAATGTGTGCAAAAGTCCAATAATGAATGCCATTCCTTTGTATGATGCCTTACTTAATAAGAGAAAAATAATATAAGTAATAGGTGATCTCTCATCAGAAGCCTTAAGATCCAGAAGGAAACAACAAACCATTTTCAAGTACTGAAAGAAAAGAATTATCAGCTCAAATCATTATCAAGTAAGAAGATCCTTCAGTAAGTAATGAAGGAAGATCATGACATTTTCAGATAACGAGAACTATGATAATTTTTCACAAGCAGATCTATCCACAAAAGAAAAACTAAAGGGAGTTCATACAGGAAAAGAATGATAAATGAAAGAATCTTGGAATATTAAAGAAAAAAACAGTGGAAAGAACAAAGATATTGGTAAACACAATAGATTGTCTTCCTTAGTGTTTGTAAATTGTGTTTCACTGAAACAAAAACTATAACACTCCTTTAATATATGTAGAGAAGATATTTTAGGGCTAGAAAGTTGGCTCAGTGGGTAAAGATGCCTGCTGCCAATCCTGGCAACCTGAATCTTATCTGCAGAATCTTCATGGTGGAAGGAGAGAACTGACTCCTATAAATTGTCCTCTGACATCTACATGCAGGCTGAGGCATAAGTGTAACTTCTCTAAAAGAGAAGATATCTTAGATAATTATAAATGGAGGAGAGTAAAGTAGCCTCACTTCACTTGAACTGGTAAGATGTCAATACCTACTAGTATGATATATTTTAGTTCTTGGTGTTTTGAGACAGGGTCTCTTTGTAGCCCCAGGTGTCCTGGAACTCCCTATGTAAACCAGGCTGGCCTCTGTCTTACAGAGATCTGCCTGAGTGGTGAGATTAAAAGTGTGCACCACCAAAGCCAAATAAAATAAATTTATTTGTTTATTTATTGTTAGTGCTGGAGATTTGATTCTTGAATGCTAAGCATGTACTCTGCCACGGAGCTACATCCATGTGATCTCTTTATATATCTTTTAAATGCATATTATAGGTATTATATTGCATAGTTAATGTGGCTGAGAGTATAGATCCTTGGTAGAGCATATGCTTACCATGCATAAGGTCCTGGGTTGAATTGCACCTGTTCAAAAGAAGATATGCAGAGAAACACTCAAAAGCACTATTATAGATAAATAAAAATGGGATTCTAAAGTGAATTTAGGTAATACATAGTAAGGGAATGACAATAGGGCAAAGCAACAGAAAACAGAACAGTAACAAAACTGAAATTATAAACTTAATCTCTAATATCTCAATAATAGCATTAAATGTATATAGTCTTACCATACTAATTAAAATGCAGAAATTGACAGACTTGATGAACAGGAAGGCCCAACTATCTTAAAAGCTGCATTTCATATATAAATGATATTGGTAAATTGAATATGAAAGGATAGAAAATGATATACTATAAAAGTATTAATCAAAGAAAGCAAGAATTACGCTTTTAATATCACATATAGTTGCTATATCAGAAAACAGTATTGTCAGTAACACAAAGAGACATTATGTAATTGAAGAAAGAAAGGGAGGGAGGGAAGTAAAACTCAACGCTACAATCAATGAATAGTAAACTCTTAGAGAACACACAGCAGGAACGTAATGCACATTCTTTTCATGACTTTATATAAGGCATATGCCATGATAAATCATATCCTTAGCCATAAAGCAAACCTCAGTAAGTTTAATAGATTTAAAATCGTAAGAGTAAGTATATTCTCAGACCACTATGGAATCTAATTGGAAATTAATAATAGAAAGTTAAGAAAATCAGTCGGTATTTGAAAAATAACAAAGCACCTCTGTGTAACCCATGGGTCAGTGAAGAAGTCTCAAGGGAATGAAATACATTGAACTGAATGAAAATAAAAAATGGTATGTCCCTCAACTTATGATAGGGTTATTTCGTGATAAGCTGATTGCTTAAAAGTATCCAAAGTTGAAAATGCATTTAGTCTACGTATCCTAGTGAACACATCTTAGTAACTGTAGACTATTGCTTGTTTCTCCTAGCGAAATGTGACTCACTGCAAGCAGTGGTTCATTGTCGCTGCTTAGCAGTGCAGGAAAGTACTCTGCATATCAAAGAGTACACTCTTTTAGTGGGACACAGTGAAATAGATGCCATTTTTGTGTCATCATAAAGTAAAAACATTGTAAGTTTGAGCTGGCAAGATGGCTCCTCAGAGTGGTATAAAAAAGAAAGGCTTGCCACCAAGTCCAACAACCTAAGTTCAATCCCTGGGACCCACATGGCAGAAAGAAAGAACTGACTCCTGCAAGTTGTTCTCTGCTCCCTACCACCACATGCAAATAAATAAATTAAAATGTAATAAAAATTGTAAGTTTGACTAGTGTAAGTTGGGAGCTGTCTACAACATATTGAAATTTGTGAGATGGAGCCAATTAATTGCTGCAAGAGAAATGTGTAGCACTATTCAGAAAAGAAGAAAATTCTATAATCAGTAATCTCAATTTTTATCTCAAGAGATGAGGAGTAGGGTTGAAAATTGAACCTAAAGCAAACCAAAGGGAAGAAATAATAAAGACAAGAGCAGAGTTATTAAAATTAGAAAAAAATGGTAGAGAAAAATCAATGAAACAAAAACCTAACACTTTGGAAAGAACAGAAAAATTGACAAGAAGAGAGTAGATATAAAATGACTAGATAATGAAACATGGGATATCACCACAGAATTCACAGACATCCAAAGGATTGTAGGGGGTGCTATAAGTAACCCGACACATAAATTTGATAACTTAGATAAATAATCCAATGCAACTACCATAATTTACCTAATGTAACATAACTGATTGAATAACCTATTAAATATTGATGAAATTTAATATTTCCAAAAATGTAATCATTGAAGACATCTATAAACTGTTTAAAAAAGAATGAACATCAATTCTAAACAATTTTTCCAGAAAATAGGAGAGGACATTTCCCAACTCATCTATAAAGCCAGAATTACTTTGATATTAAAACCAGATAGGTAAAGACAATATATTAAAACAATACTCCAGCCAGACATGGTGGAACATGCCTTTAATCCCAGCACTGAGGAGGCAGAGGCAGATGGATCTTTGTGAGTTCAAGGCCAGCCTCGTCTATATAGTAAGTTCTATGTTAGATAAGGCTACACAGTGAGACCCTGTCTCAAAAAATAAAAAATACAACACTCTAGACTAATCTTTTATAAGAGCATGTATATGAGGACATCCTAGATCAGTCAGTATATGTTATGGATTAAATGTTTGTCTTTTCTCATACCCAACACATTCATATGTTGAAATCCTAAACCCTCAGTATGTTGGTTGTAGAAGGTATGACTTTTGGAAGATGATCAGATCATTGGTTAGAAACTTCATAAATAGGATTAGTGTCTTTATAAAAAGATCACTAGAGAGCTTTCTCTTCTCTCTGCCATGTGAAGATGCAATGAGAAGACACCTGTCCTGTAAGGACCATGAAGCAGGTCCTTCCTACCATGTGCTGTGAAGATGCAATGAGAAGACACCTGTCTTGTAAGGACCAGGAGGCAGGTCCTTACCAGCTGTATCCAGCTGCTCTTTGGTCTAAGACTCTTTTCTTTAGAAATAAAAGAAATAACTGTTGTGTATAAGCCTTCCAGTCTATGGTCCTTTGCTGTAGCAGCCCAAACAGAGTAAGACAGTGTAGGTGGGAAAATTCTTAAAATGTTAGCCTGTATCAGGAGTACTGAGAGATCAATGCCAGCCTGGACTACATACTAAGATACTAATAGAAGAGAATGTAGAGAATACACTGGAACTTACAGGCACAGAAAAAGACTTTCTGTACAGGATTCCTATAGCATGGGCATTTCATCCAGCAATTAACAAATGGGACCTAATGGGATTAAAAGGCTTCTGTATAGCAAAGGACATTATCACTAGAGTGAAGAGGCAACCTACAGAACGGCAAAAAATATTCTTTACCAACTCTATCTCTGACAGAGAATTAATGGATCTCTCAGCCCTCACCAGAGACGCGTCCTTATGCAGCAGGTGGTGATTAACACAGAAACCCACAACTGACCAATGTGCAGAGAACAAGAGACCAAAGAGTATTTATCCCTGTAAAGGACATCTAAATAAAACCTCTGCCTCAAAGTTCAGGGATAATTGTGGAAGAGGAGGCAGAAAGATTCTAAGAGCCAGAGGTTTTCAATGACCACGAGGAGCCATAGCTTTCCAGACAGCTGAGCAGTTACTCATATGAACTCACAGAAATGATAAGAGGATACACAAGTTCCACATAAGCTCGGGCCATACAAAATCACAGTATAAAAGTGGGGCAGTGGGTAAGATACCCAGCCCTGGCTGAGGAACTATTGGCAATTGATAACTGCTAGGAGAGAAAGTCAGTTTTCTTTAAGGCTATGATGTTAGGGATAGGTTAACCATGCTTTAGTGGATGGGCCCACACCAAAGGGAATTTGGGAACAGTTTCACTGTGTTGCCCAATCTCTCCTCCAATTCCTGGGCTCCAGTGGACAGCCTGCTTCAATTTTTTATGTTGCTAAGATTATAAATGGGTTTGCTGGCATGGTGGCGCATGCTTTTAATCCCAGCACTAGGGAAGCAGAGGCAGGCAGATCTCTGTGCATTCAAGGCCAGCCTGCTCTACACAGCGAGTTCCAGGCCAGGGAGACCTGCCTCAAAAAAGACCAAAAAAAATTACAGTGGCAAAAATTTTTTAATTTTGAAATGTAATAGATCCTGTGAATTTGGGGTAGCTACAGAAATGATCAGATTCTTTAGAGCCATTTTTCCTTAATTTCTATTTTTTCAGTTCCTTCTGTGATCCTTAAAGAGTGGTCTGCCTATAAAGGGAAATCACCTCAAACTCCTGAATTGGTATCTGCACTCACATTTCGGGAATGGACGTGCCCAAACCTCAAGAAACTCTGGTTAGGAAAAGCAGTTGAGGACAAGAACAGAAGGATGCGTGCTTTCCTGGCCTGCATGAAGTCAGACACACCCAGTATGCTCAATCCAGCTAATGTGCCCACACATCTGCTGCTTATGTGTTGTGTACTCCGGTAAGCTTTGTGACAGGGCTCTCCTTTTGACTTTCTTGACATTTTGTTTAAGTCTTTTTTTTAAAATAGCATTTCAAGGTAGAAAGACTTTTTAAAATTTATTAATTTTTGTTCAGTTCATGCATTACATCTTAATTATATTTAGACCCCATCCCCTCCTATCTGCACCTCCTCATATCCCCCACCACTAGATTTCATGCATTCTGTCATATATGTTAAGGCCTATCAAGTCAAGTTTGTGTCCCCAGATGTGAGTTCATCCACTGGAGCCTGTTCAGCCTATCTAGCATCATTCCCTTAAAGAAGACCGGCTCTCTCTCACTCAGCAGTGGTCAGTTGCTAATAGTTCCTCGGCTAGGGCTGGGGCCTTCCAGCCCATTTCTCCAATTCTATGCTGGGTTTTTGTATGATTGAGTTTGCACAGGTCTTGTGTATGCTGTCACCATTGCTATAAGTTCATATGAGCGTTTCCAGAAGCATGGAAAACTGTTTCCTTATAGTCATCCACCACCCCTGGCTCTTATCTTTAAGGTCGAAAGATTTTTGTTTTGTGTTTGGCTTAGCCTTCAGAAATATTAGCAATGATTGTTCTATGGATAGTCTTGGTTTATGACCCTGCGTCATTATCAGTGCATGTGTGACCCTTTATTTATTTGGTTTGACTTTGGTTTTTGTTATTCTCAATCTTTTTTATTTATTATTATTAGCTTACCCATTATCAAGTTTCCTTCTGGCTTTTCATGCATCCTTTGCTTTAGTTGTTCTGCTCCCTCACTCTTCTCTTGCATCTCCCTGCCCTTCCTCTCTGATTAGCCTTCCTTTCTATATTATCCCTTCCATTTTCATTTCATATGTATTCTACTCCCCTTAAAGTCTGTTTTTCTCCCCTTTCATGGACCCCTTTCTAGTATCTTGGCCTGATACACATTCACTATATACACATGTATAAAAATTAGCAACTGGGATCTGCATATGAGAGAAACATGGAATGCTACTCTTTCTCTCCATGGGCTACCTCACTTAATGTAATACTTTCTAGTTCTATCCATTTACCTGCAAATTATGAAATTTCATTTTTCTTTATAGCTTAATGAAATACCATTGTGTATATATACCACATTTTCAGTATCCATTCCTATGTTGAAGGACATCTGGGCTGAATCCTCTTCCTTGTTATTATGAAAAGAGCAGTAATGAACTTGGATGAGCAAGTATCTCAATTATAGGATATGGTCCTTTGGGTATATGCCCAGGAGTGGTATAGTTGTTTCATATAGTAGTTCTGTTTCTAGCTTTTTGAGATTCCCTCCACACTGATTTTCATAATTACTGCACCAGTTTATATTCTTCAGACTAATGATGAATAAGGGTTCCCCTTTCTCTACTTCCTTGCCAGCATTTGTTGTTACTTGTTTTCTTAATGATAACATTATGACTTGAGTGAGATATAATCTCAATGTAGTTCCAATTTGCATTTCTACAATGACTAAGGATGTTGAACATTTTAAATATGTATTGGCCATTATTATTCTTTTAAAAACTGTCAGGGGCTGGAGAAATGTCTCAGCAGTTCAGAGCACTGGTTGCTCTTGCAGAGAACCCAGGTTCAATTCCCAGCACCTACATGACAGCTAACAACTGTCTGTAACTCCACTTTCAGGGGAATCCAACATCCCCTTCTGACCTCCGAGGGCAACACAGGTGCACTTACACATATGCAGGCAATGCACTCATACTTGTAAAATAAAAATAAAATGTTTTTTATAAAAGAACTGTCAATGTCCATTCCTTAACCCATTTTTTTTTATTAGGTTGGTGGTGTTCTTTACTTTTTAGCTTTTTACTTTCTTTGTGTTGGATATTAATCCTCTGTCAGATGTAAAGCTGACAAAGATTTTCCCCATCTATAGGCTGTCTCTTTACACAATTAACTGCTTTCTTTGTTGTACAGATGGTTTTTAATTTCATGAGATCCCATTTTTGATTGTTGGCCTTATTTCTTCTGCTACTATGGTCCTATTTAGGAAGTCCTTAGCTATGCCTGTATCTTGAAGTGTTTATCCTTTTTCCTCTAACAGTTTCAGAGTTTTAGGTCATATGTTGGGGCTTTTGTTCCATTTGGAGTTGATTTTTGTGCAGGGAGAGAGACTAAGATCTCGTTTCATTCTTCTATGTGTAGATACCCAGTTTTACCAGCACCATTTATTGAAGATGCTATCTTTACTCCACTGTGTATTTCTGGCATCTCGGTCTACAAAACGGGTAACAATAATTACATCTATGTTCATCAGGGAGATTTGTCTATAAACTATTTGTATGTATTTTCATCTGGTTTTGGTACTACCATAATATTGACTTCATAAAAACAATGTGGAAGTATTCCTTACTTTTCTGTTTCATGGAACAATTTGAAAAGCATTAGTTTTAGTTCCTCATTAGAGGTTGGTAATGCAGCTCAGTGGTAAAGCACATGCTTAGCATGTTTGAGGCCCGAGGTTCAATCCCCAGCATTGTTAAAACAAGAGCAGCAAAATTTAATTCTCTAAAGGTCTGGTAGAATTCTTCGGTGTATACATCTGGGCCAGGATTTTTTTTAAGTCAGATTTTTTTTCTTTCTGTTTCAATTTCATTGCTTGTTATAGATCTATTTAAGTTTTTATCTTATCTTGGTTTAACTTTGGCAAATCACATATACCTTAAAATTCATCTTTTTAAAAATATTTTCCAAGTTAATAGAATATAGGGGTTTTTGTTTCAATGTTTGTTTGTTTGTTTGTTTTTGAGACAGAGTCTCCTTATGTAGACCAGGCTGACATGGAACTAGCTATATAGACCAAACTGACCTGGAACTCACAGAGATCCCCCTGCCTCTGCCTCCTGAGTGATAGGATTAAAGACATGTGCCATCACACCTGGCAAATATAGATTTTTAAAGTATGTCCTTATGGGACAGGAGACATGGCTCAGCATTTAAGAGCACTGGCTGCTCTTGCAGAGGACCAAGTTTCAGTTCCTAGCATCTACATAGGGGCTAACAGCTGTCCATAACTCCAGTTCCAGGGAATCTGATGCCCTCTTCTGGCTTTTGTGGGAATTGCATGACATGGGTGTACTTACATATAAGCAAAACATTCATACATATAAAAATAATTTTTTTAAAGTATGTCCTTATGATTTTTTAATTTCATTGGTATCTATTGTAATGTTTCCCTTTTCATCTTTAATTTTTATTTGTGACTTCTTTTTTGGCTAATTTGACTGATGACTTGTCAATTTTGTTTATCTTTTCAAAGAATCAACTCTTTATTTCATTTATTTTTTTTAATGGGGGCAACTGGGGGGGGTTAGTTCTTTTACTTTGTGTGTATCAGTGTTTTGCCTGCATTATGTAAGTGTATCATGTGCATGCAGTGCCCACGGAGATGAGACAAGGGCATTGGATCCCCTGGAACTGGAGTTACAGATGGCTATTAGCTGCCATGTGGGTGCTGAGACCCAAACCTGGGTCCTCTGCAAGAGCAACCTGTACCCTTAACTGCTGATCCATTTCTCTAGTCCCCATTTCATTGAATTTTTAAAATAATTGTTTTCATTTCTATTTCATTAAGTTCTGTCCTAATCTGGAAATTGCTTCTTTATGTGTACTGCTTTGAAGGTTGGTTCTCATTTTTTGAAAGCCTTACGGCACATCATTAAGTTATTTATTAGAGTTCTCTCTGATTTTTATTTCTTTCTTGAATTCTTCAGTGAACCATTCATCATTCAATATTGTGTTGTTTAATCTCAGTGGGTTTGTCTTTTTTATAGTTACTTGCTTTTAATTTTTAGCTTCCTTCCATTGTTATCAGATAGAATACAAGAAATTATTTCAGCTTGTCCATATATATTGAAAGTTGCTTTGTGTCCTAATATATGAACTACTTTGTATTTTTGATTATTTTTATTTTATGTGTATGAGTGTATTGCCTGCATGTGTATAAGCGCACCCATGTCATGCAATGCCCAAGGAGGTCTGAAGAGGGTGTCAGATTCCCCTGGAACTGGAATTATGGATGGTTGTTAACTGCCTTGTGGGTACTGGGAATTGAACTCAGGTCCTCTGCAAGAGCAGCCAGTGCTCTTAACTGCAGAGCCATCTCTCCAGCCCCTATATGAACTAATTTGGAGAAAGTTTTTATTTTTATTTTTTGATTATTTTTGTTTTTCTTAATATTTTATTTATTATTTTTATTTTATGTGTATGAGTGTATTGCCTGCATGTTTGTAAGTGCACCCTTGAAAGTGTACATGGAGGTCAGAAGAGGGTGTTGTATTCCCCTGGAACTGGAGTTACAAATGGTTGTTAGCTGTTGTGTGGGTGCTGGGAATCAAACCTGGATCTTCTGCAAGAACAGCTGATGCTCTTAACCACTGAGCCATCTCTCCAGCCCCAATGGAGAAGATTTTTAGTACTGGGGATGGGGCCTGGGACTTCATGCATACTAATCAAGTACTCCACCACTGACCTATGTCCCTAGCCACTACAGCATTTTTTGTACAGATGGACTTTTTCTTTTTTTGTTTTTTTTTTCAGGGGTTTTGCTATGTTACTCAAACTAGCCTTTAATTCCTAGGTGAGCTATACACAGACCTTGTGGTACCCTGCTAGATTCTGCATCCCCCTTTTTACATGAATGGTTTTGTGCTTTACATATCATTCTGTTTCTTACCTTTTTTCTTTCAATTTAATTTTATTTATTTTATTTATAATATAGTCTCACTATGCTACTAAACTGGTCTTGAACACCTATGCTGAAGTTATCCTCTCACCTCAACCTTCCTAGTATATGGGACTACAGGCCTAGATCCTCATGTCTACATTCAATGTTAATTTTGAAATGTACCCATATTTATGTATGGCACATTCTTCTTGATTGCTGGGTTATATTCCATCACATATTATTATCAGAGTATTTTACAGATTATTTAATGGATGCTTCCCAGTTCTCTGGGATTTCACT